AGAATGGAAAAGTGGGAAAAAACACATTTAAAAAATTATTTATTTATTTATTCATGAGAGACATACAGAGAGAGGCAGAGATGTAGGCAGAGGGAGAAGCAGGTTTCCCACAGAGAGCCCAATGCAAGACTTGATCCGAGGACTTCAGGATCACAACCTGAGCCGAAGGCAGACGCTCAACTGCTGAGCCACCCAGGCGTTCCCAAGAACGACGTTTTATTTATTTTTATTTTTTTATTTTTTTAAGAACGTTTTAGAATCAGTCAGACCTGTGCTCTGACCCCAGCTCCTCCACTCAGTAGCTGAGTGATATTGGGCCAGCATGGTAGCCATGGTGGATCTCCCTTGAAGAAATAACTTAATCAGCTGTGAAGAGTGCCTTTGGAGGACGGTCCCCAGGTGCAGTACCCGCAACTACTATTTTGTTTGGATCAAGGTCATGTTCTTTTCTGGCAGTCCCCAACCGTGACTAAGCATCAGGGCAAGGGGAGGGGGAGTACTAGGGCCTGGCCATTCCCAAATAATGTGGCTCTTCCAACGGCAAACTTTCTTTCTCTCTCTCTTTCTTTCTTCTTTTTCTTCTTTCCTTCCTTTCTTTCAAAGATTTTATTCATTTTTAGAGAGAGAGAGAGCGTGCAGGCACGTGAGCCCATGTGCAAGCAGTGGGAGGCAAGGGCAGAGGAAGAGGAAGAGAGAAAGAAGCAGACTCCCTGCTGAGTGCAGAACACTCTGAGATCAGGACCAGAGCCAAAATCAATTTTGGCAGACGCTTAACCCACTGAGCCACCCAGGCGTCCCTCTTTTCCTTTTTTAATGGAAGTAAAATTCACATGCCACAAAATGCACCACTTTAACCATTTTGAGACATACAAGCCAGTGGCATTTAGTACCATCACACTGTTGTGCAACCACCTAACCTCTATCTGCTTCCTAGATATTTTCATTGCCCCCAAAAAGAAGTGATTAAGCAATCACTCCTCATGTACCCTTCCCTCCATACCACCAGTCTACTTTCTGTTTCTAGGCACCTGTGACAAGAAATTCTTGCAATAAAAATTTTGGAAAAAAAAAAAAGAAAAAGAAAGAAATTCTTGCAATTCACCTCCCCTGTGTGCTGGCTGAGATTCCTCAGAGCTGCACCATCTTAAGCTCTTCCTATGCACACCTCCTTTCCCCCTCTTATGCCACAGGTGGTCGACCCACTTCCCAGCACAGCCCTGCTCCCTCTTCCCTTTATCTTTCACTGGCATGCCCCACACAGGCCCTAATAAATCTTTTGTATTGCTAACACCTCTGCAACATTTGCTTCTGGAGGCCAATTTAACACAGCAAGATGCTGTGAGCTCCAAGCATCTCCAAGTGATACAGGTTCTCAGAAATACTGAATGTGACTCGGAGGACCCAACAATGTTAATACCTGACTGTAGACAGCATTGACTAAGTGCCAGGCACTGCAGCAGTTGTGGACTCCCACGGGCTCCCTCCTGAACCCTCACAAGCATGTGATGGGGGCACCATTAGGATCCTGGCTTTGACAGAGGAGAAAGCAGAGACCCACTGCACAGGGAGCTTCCCCTCTCTGGGAAAAAAAAGTCCTCACCACCAACCAGAAGCAGTTTCCTAAACACGGAAGTGCAGTATCATCTTAGCCAGAGAAAGGCCACAGGCAGCCTCTTGCCCTGGGCTGAGCCTGGCTAAGGAAGCACCTGTTTCTGGAAGGTTCCAGAGTAATCCAGTTCCTCAGCCTACACAGTGGGAGGGGACTATTTCCAAACTGAAAGTAGCCCACCAGTCCTCTCACAGATGTCCCAAGGATGTCATGCAGCCACCAGAGCGATACCTGTAAACCTAGCTTCTGTGCCAACACAGGGAGGTGGGGAAGAGTCTTGCCTTTGGTCACCTGAAGGTTAGCATCTTTGAGAGAGGAGTAGAAATTAGACAGGCACAGCCAAGGTTGGGGTAAGGTGCGGGGACAGAGTGGGCACCAGTTAGCATTTGGTTGTCCCGTGTTCCTTCAGGCACAGATCCCTGGGATACACAGGGAGCCCCTTGAAGGCAGGGGCTAGATCGGATCCATGCCTGTGAATGCAGGGAAGTCAGGGGAATGTTTCCCGAGTGAATGAAGGATTCAGGAGAAAGATGCTGAGCCATTGGCTGGAACAGTTACCAGTTACCAATAACTGGTAAAGTAACAGTTACCAGTTACCTCTGGAACCCAGAGGGGACTGGGAGGAGAGGTGTTTGGGGCTGGGGGCAGGGTGGAACTTGCTTGTTTCACGCCACTGGAGTGATTTTTATCTGCGTGTTCACTGCTCTATCTCTGGTGTCTGGAACAGTGACTGGCACACAGTGGGTCTCAATCAGTGTTTGCTAAATGGCAATCACACACATATGCACACAAAACCACCATCACTAAGAAAACCCCCAGGAACTCTGATGCCCCTTCTGCCAGGAGCAGTTAAACTATACTCTGCTAGGAGAAACAGTCCTGCACTGAGCAATAACCATAGGCCAGGCCCTCATCAGAGGCCGATCATGCCTTTTTTTCCCCCTTTGATTCTTACACACTCTCAGATAATGGCAATGCTGACCACAGCTACCTCTTAGGAACACAAACACATCAGATACTGTTCTGAGCACCTTACGTGGACTCTCAGTTCCCACACCACGGGCCCCTGAGGTACTTACTCTCAGTGTCCCCACTTCATAGATGAGGACACCAAGGCACGGAAAGAGAGAAAGCCACCTGCTTCCGGTCACACCAACCACAAGAGGCAGAGCTGGGGAGACAACCACAAGCTTAAATAGCAAATCTTTAACTGAGTACCTCTTTTTTTTTTTTTTTTAAAGACTATTTTATTTATTCATGAGAGACAGAGAGAGAGAGAGACAGGCAGAGGGAGAAGCAGGCTCCATGCAAGGAGCCCGATGCGGGACTCGATCCTGGGACCCCAGGATCATGCCCTGGGCGCAAGGCAGGCGCTAAACCACTGAGCCACCCAGGGCTCCCCTAACTAGATACCTCTTAAAGATTGGAATTGGCTCTATTAGGTGATTGATGAATCGGGCAGCATCCTGTCTAGCAAGGAAAGGGAGCTCTGTCCAGACACCCAAAAGAAAGGGTTTTTAAAGGTAGATAGGGAGCAGAACAAAGAAAAGTATTAGCAAAGAACACATGGTTTCAGGCAAGGTTGCCCTCCTAAGGGGAATGAAAGGGTCTTATCAGTACATTTCCTCCTGCTAACCCGAGATTCCAGGTGGACTAATTAAATGTTACCATGGGGGAGGGGCAGAGGCTGAAACTACTCTTAGGTTAGGTATTAAGTCTTGGTTTGCTGACTGGGGCCCTTACCATAAGTGACACCATTTGGGGGGCTGTGGTTTTCTTACTACCACCAGGAAGGCCGTCTCCAGAGTGATTTTACGTGGTCTATTTTTACATATAGAAGGAACTGAAGCCCCCTACCCAGGGACACTGTGGGAGACAGCATAGTGATCCCCAAAATGTTGACATCTTCATCCCCAGGACATGTGACTACGGTACATTATGTAGCAAAAAGGACTTCGCACATATGATTAAATTAAGGATTTTGAGCTGAGAGACTTCTGGATTATCTGGAGGAGCCCAATGCTGTCATCGGGTCCTTATAACTGACAGAGGGGGCACTACTGGAGTCAGAGAAGGAGACGTGATGACAGAAGCAGATGCTAGAATGAGGCGCTCTGCAAATGGAGGAAGAGATACACACCAAGGGATGCCGCTACCTCCAGAGGCAGGAAAATGAAGTCTCCCTGGAGCCTCCATAGAAACCAGCCCTAAAAAAAAAAAAAAAGAAAAGAAAAGAAAAGAAACCAGCCCTACGGACACCTCAATTTCAGCCCGTGAGATTTGGACTTCTGACCTCCAGAACTATGAGCCATTAAATTCGTGTACCTTGGGCAGCCCAAGTTGCTCAGCAGTTTAGCGCCGCCTTCAGCCCAGGGTGTGATCCTGGAGACCTGGGATCCAGACCCATGTCAGGCTCCTGCATGGGGCCTGTTTCTCCCTCCCTCTGCCTGTGTCTCTCAAAATAAATAAATAAAATCTTAAAAAAAATAAATTCATGTATCTTAAGCATAGTATACTTGGTACTTGGTTACAGCAGCCATTGGGAGTTATTATTTTTTTAAAAAGATTTTATTTATTTATTCATAAGAGACAAAAAGAGAGAGGCAGAGAAACAGGCAGAGGGAGAAGCAGGCTCCATGCAGGGAGCCCGATGTGGGACTCAATCCCAGGTCTCCAGGATCGCACCCTGGGCTGAAGACATCACTAAACTGCTGAGCCACCTGGGCTGTCCTACAGCAGCCACTGGAAGCTCATGTAGGCACCCAGCTCTTTAAATTTTTTTTTTATTTTTATTTTTTATTTATTTATGATAGTCACAGAGAGAGAGAGAGAGAGAGAGAGGCAGAGACACAGGCAGAGGGAGAAGCAGGCTCCATGCACCGGGAGCCCGACGTGGGATTCGATCCCGGGTCTCCAGGATCGCGCCCTGGGCCAAAGGCAGGCGCCAAATCGCTGCGCCACCCAGGGATCCCGGCACCCAGCTCTTAAGTGGCAGAGAGGGGATTCAAACTCAAGTCTTGCCAATTTGAAAGCTCTGGATCTTCTGGAATCTCTTTTGGAAGTGTGACGCTTGGCATTATTCCAGATGTGTTTTTCTTGGAGTCACTGGGCAGGGCTTGGCACTAAAGATATGCTAATGGTCATTATCATTATACCTCCTTCCTCTCTGTACACAGTGCCACTGCCTCAGTCTTCTCTTCTCTGCTCAAGAACCTCCCATGGCTCCCCAGCATCCTCAGGATAATGTCCAACCCCTTTATGGCAATGGAGAACTTTGCAGTCTGGCTCTGTCACCCAGCAGACAAAGGCACTAGACCCTTATGGGCCAGGTTTCAGGGGCCACCTGGATTCTACTGAGAAACACTTCCTGCAGCTTGCAAACTCCCTCACAACCTCCCTTTTAAGTATGGCTTGTGAGACTTTCCTGGCTTTCCCTCACAACTAGAATATACTAAACAGGATTGCTAGTTAGCCACTCCGTCTTCTGGGGGCCGCCTTACCCTGTGCCACCTTCATTATAATACCTGTATTCTAATTTTTGGGTTCCAGTAAGGCTGCCCCCAGCCTGGGAAGCCACCGTGGGCAGGGATGAGATCTCAGCCTCTGCTGATTGCTGCCTGCCTCTGCCTCAAGGAATGTCCACTGTCTATCTCTCTGCTTCTCCACTTTCTTATCTACTCTCTTGAGGAAGCTGACAGCCTAAAGTCCTAGTTGCTGGGGCAGCACGACCAAGAAAAGGTAGATCTCAGACTCGTAAGTCCCCAGAAACATAGGACTTCTATTCAGCCGTGGAAAGAGATGAAGCATTGACACACTCTACAATGTGGATGAAACTGAAACACATATGAAATATCCAGAATGAACAAATCCACAGACACAGAAAGCAGTCTGGTTGTGGCCAGGGGATGGGGGACAGGAGGGAATGGGGAGTGCCTACACTTGGTGGAGAGAGGATTACTTCCAGGATGATGAGAAAGTTCTAGAACTAGATAAACATGGCAGTTGTGAAACATTAGGAATGTACCAAATGTCACTGAACTGTTTGCTTTAAAATAGTTAATTTTATGTCTTGTGAATTTTAGCACAAATTTAAAAAAAAAGAGGTGGCTAAGGGAGAAGGTAGCTGGAACTTCTAGGTCTGAGGGAGGAGGAGATGGGGTTCAGGACTCCCAGGTCTGAGGAAGAAGGGCTGGAGGTCTGGACTCCAGAGTCTGAGGGAGGAGGGGCTGGAAGCCTGGACTCCAGGGTCTGAGGGAGTTGGGGCTGGGGGTCTGAACTCCAGGGTCTGAAGTAGGAGGGGCTGGGGGTCTGGACTCCAGAGTCTGAGGGGGGGGGGAGCCTGGGCCTCTGAGTCTGAGGGAGGAGGGGCTGGGAGCCTGGACTCCTGAGTCTGAGGGAGGAGGGGCTGGGGGCCTGGACTCTTGGTCTGAGGGAGGAGGGGCTGGGAGCCTGGACTCTTGGGTCCAGGGGAGGCTGGGGCCCAATGGCCTGATTTTTAAGAGGGGAGGAAACCAGAGTTAGTTGAGCATTGCTATGCCTGACAGACAAAAGAAGGATCAGAGTAGAGGAAGCAATTGCTTTCAGGGGGGAGGCTCATTAGATGGAGATGTCGACACCAAGGCCTCCCTTCCCACCCTGAGCCAACCCACTGGGGAATTCCAGCTGCTGCCCAGAGGAAGGGAGAGGGGAAGGCAAGTGAGGGGGAGGAAGCAGGGTCACCAGGGCCCCACACCCAACAGCCTAAGGACAGAAACTGTACCCGGAGGAGCCTGGCCTGTGGGCCTGGATTCTGGGGCACTGGAGGAGGTAAGAGCTAGGAGGTTGGCCCAGGCAAATGTAGAAATTCTATAAGGGACTGGGGTCTGGATGGCTGGGGCCCAAGGGAGGAAGAGTAGAGGGAGCTGGAGGCTCAGATTCTGGGTCCTGGGGAAGACAAGGGCTGGGTGCTTGGACGTTGAACTTCTGAAGCTGGAGTAAGGAAGTTGGGGCCAGGCGAAGCTATCTGAGGTGCTGCTGGTAAGGTTTTGAGTGGGGAAGTGGCAGTTCAGGGGCGAGGTCCCAAAGAAGGTGGCAGGTCAGTCAGTGGGACAGTCTGTCTGCCTGCTGTCCTGCCGTGCGGACTTTGGCTCCGCCACGCTGCCGCCGCCAACGGGGCCCCACCCCATGCCCCCTCTCCCTTTCCGACCTTTCCCATGGCCCCAGGCCTAGGACGGAGAGAGCCAGAGGGAGAGTTCGCACAGGTGAGCATATAGGCAAGCCCAGGGGCCACCAGTGGAGGGCTGGCTGGGAGAGGCTCAGAGGCTGGGTAGAGGGAGGCCAGCCTGGAAAAACTGGGAAGTCAGGATGGAGAAACAGTTGTTCCAGGAGGGAGAGCGCCCCAGGCTGCGATCTGGCTTCATCAGACCAGACCCCTCACCCACTGCTTCTGCCCAGGAGCCAATGGGGGCCTCAGAGCCAGGAGGCCACCTTCTGATGCACCTGGACTCTTAAGGCAGGTTCCTCACCTGAGAGAGAGGCAGACAGACAGACAGAGAAAGGCTTGTGGTCCCTTTCCTTCTCCTGCAGAGCCGGGTATGTGGGGCTACCTGTCCCTGCTGCCTGCCTTCCTGGCCCTCTGGGCTATCACTGGAGTCTGGACCGTGTGAGTATTAGAGGCAGGATGACCCCTGGGCCTGAGGGAGGAGGGAGCTGGGGGCCTGGACTCCAGGGTCTGAGAGAGAAGGGGCTGGGGCCTGGACTCCTGGGTCTGAGGGAGGAGGGGCTGGGGCCTGGACTCTTGGGTCTGAGGGAGGAGGGAGCTAGAAGTCCTTGTTTCTGTGGGTAACAGAAAGAAAAGCTGTCGTTTAAAACCACTTTGATGTCTCCCTGTACTTCAGTTTTGCCCTGGCCGTAGCCAACAGGTCTGTGAACCTCACCGAAGGTTTTCCCTACATCAGGTAGTTATGGCGTGGGAGGAGGGGGTAGGAGGGTGGTTCCAAGGTAAAAGAGGAGGGGGGCCTGGCTCCGAGGTGCCACAGGACGATCCTTTGTCTCCCCCAGCCTCTGTGGATCTTACCCCCCTCAGAGCTGCATCTTCAGCCAGCTGCTCAACATGGGAGCTGCTATGGGTAAATATTCTCAGCACCCCCGGGCCAAGGGGGCCCGAGTGCCGGCCCCCAGGTGTGGGGGTTAGCCCCCACCCCTAGATACCCAATCTCTCTGCAACCCATCCCCCAGATGTGGGGGTTAGGCCCTCACCCCCAGACGCCCAATCTCTCTGCACCCTGGCCCCAGGAGTCCGAGCCCGGCTTGCCCGCCCACTTCCCTCTTCTCCCAGCCGCCTGGATCTGCATCATCCGTTACCACCAGCTCCGGGACTGGGGAGTCGGAAGATGGTTTAACCAGGTGATCCTGTGGACGGGGCTTCTGTGTGCCCTGGGCACCTCCGTGGTGGGCAATTTCCAGGTGAGACGGCGTGCACTCCAGGAGCCCAGCCGGGCGTTCGGACCAGCCCGAGTCTGGGACTACAGCTCCCAGCACACCCCGGGGCCTCCGCCTTCTCTATTGGCGGGGTGGGGGTGGGGGCTCCTCCGCGAACGGCCTTCTGGGACTCTCTCTCTCTTTTTTTTTTTAAGATTTTATTTATTTATTCATGAGAGAGGGTGTGGGGGCAGAGAGAGGCAGAGACAGAGGCAGAGGGAGAAGCAGGCTCCATGCAGGAAGCCGGAGGCAGGACTCGATCCTGGGACTCCGGGATCACGCCCTGAGCCAAAGGCCGACAGACGGCCAACCGCAGAGCGCTGAGCCACCCAGGTGTCCCATACCTTCCGGGACTTCTATTTCTCTTGTGACTTTTGGGCCCGGGAGAAGGTGAGCTCCTCGGCTCTCTGGATGGAGTGCCCCATAGGCTCTTGGTATAGCGATTCCACTGAACACTAGAAGGTTGGGGTAATTCAGTGCGGTTCTTTGCCCCTTTCCCCTTTTAATAATGAAATTACTCAGAGCCACTCATTCTTAGGTTTTACATTGTATGCATTTTCATCCATCTCCTCAAGGGCTCTAGCTAGACCCTTTTTGGTCAAACAGAACTTTTTAATTTTGTTTTGTTTTTGTTTTTAATCAGCTGGCCTGTGGGGGTCAGAAATAAACCCAGATTCATAGACTCCAGAACTCACATTCTTCACCTTGAAGTTCAGTAGATATTTGTAGAACAAATGAATGGATGATCAATTGAAGAAAACTTATTGATTATTTTGTTATTTAATTTTACTGTGAGGTCTCTCCAACCCCTGCTGCCCCCGCCCCGCCCCCCGCCCTTGCTGAGTATACTGCAGGATAAGAGGCTGCCTCCAACTTGTTCATAAAAATTCCCTCTGCATAGCCCTCATTCACTCATTCGTTTATTCCTGTGCTCCACAACTGTGACTTGTTAAAATTATTATATAGTTCCCCTAAGGAGTCTTTTAAAGCCATTTCCCGCTGGTCATCGCTTCTCCTCATTAAACTTTTAATATTTTAAAAAAATGTTAAATAACATGTACGATGTATCAGTAAGCCACAAACCATTGTAATATTTAAGAACTTTTCACCCTCTGAACACCAATTTTTACCCCTTGGATGCCAGTGTCAGCCCTCCCCCACCCTGGTTGAGAATGAAAGATGTATTGCACTAATATTTCCTGAGCGCCTATGATGTGCCAGACCCTGTGTTAGGGAGTGAGGCCACAGCAGTGAGCAACAGATTAGAATGCCTGCCCTGGTGGAGCTGACAATAGCCAATACACCTAATCAATAATCCAGTCAACTGGCTATGGCAGTTTTCACAGTCCACTGGGTAGGTCAAGGACCCCTCCCCCCATTACAGCCCTTGTACCCTCCATCCCCTGCCATCCCCATTTATCTATCTTCCTCTCAATTCTGGTCCCTTTTCCTTCCAGCAAAAGAACCAGCTGCCCGTACATCTGACAGGGGCCTTCTTTGCCTTATTCGTGGGCAACCTGTACTTCTGGCTGCAGCTCTTTCTCTTCTGGTGGATGAAGAGCCTGCCCCAACCTGGGGCCCCCTGGATCAGGCCACTCCGCCTGGGCCTCTGCAGCCTCTGCACCATCCTCATGGTGGCCAGTATCCTTACCTGGGCCAGTGGCAGGGGCATTGGGATGGGTTGGCTACCTGCAATATGCAGTGCCCTGTCCATTCTCCGACTCAGCCTCCTTAGTATGATAGAGTAATGGAAAGCGTCAACCCTGGGGTTAGGCAGCCTGGGTTGGATTCCACCTCCCCTAGTACCAGCTTGTGTGTGGGGGGCTCCATTGGCTGAACTTCTCATTCCCTGTGTTCCTTCAGCTGTCAAATGTGGATAATAATAGGGCTGCTCTCCCACCCCGAGTTATAGAGAATGAAGGAAGTAATACCTGTGAGGTGCTTAGATGGGTTTCCAGCATAGTGAGCAACCAAGAAATTCTGGGAGGATGGTAAAACCAGTGGTAGTGGTCTGTTTGGGGTACCTGCCCTGTGCCAGGCATCATGTTGGCTAAGACTGAGGCCTAAACTGAGGTTCAGATAGCAGGGAGTCTCTTGGCCAAGACCCATCATGAAGTCCAATGGTGGAACTTGTGGTAGGCGGAAGGCAGCTTGCACCAGCTCTTGAGACCAGTTCGTATCTCTTCCCAACTCCATGTTTGGTGCTACCACTGACCTTGGTGAGAGTCTTCACAACATAGAAATTGGCCAACACTGCAAATCAGAGCTGGTAGTTAACCATTTACCATCATGCCTACTTCTGGGGAAAGACTCCACCCAGCCCAGTTCTTAGTCTCCATAGCACGACACGCCTCTGGGTGGCTCAAATCACGGTCTGTGTTTTAGTTTCCGTATCTATAAAATGGAGTTGTTTTGATTACTGACAGGTGAAGTGCCCTGAGAGATGAGAGGGCTGGAGGCAAACTCAGTCTCCCTGACTGATATCCTCCTAGGGGAGGGTGGAAGGGAGACCAGAAAGCTAATGGGTGTTCAGAAGAGGCTAGAGGGAAGCAAGCTGAGGTCCTGTGCTCTCTGTACGAGGACATCTGCTTATTTGGAGTTATCCCTACAAATGGAGCTGGCAGTCCCATCTCCCAGAGCAGCAAACTGAATCCCATGGAATAGGTGAGACGGGCTGACCCCTCAGCTAAGCCTTTAGCTACTCCAGCCATATGAGCAACATCTCTCCTCTGCAGAGGCCCTGTTGGTGATAAGATCCAACTGGCCCCTTTTATTTTATTATACTTTTGTTTTTAAAAAGATTTTTATTTATTTATTTATTTATTTATTTATTTATTTATTTATTTATTGAGAGTGAGTGAGTGAGAGAGAACAGGAAGAGGAGCTGAGCACAGATCATGACATGAGGCTCCATCCCAGGACCCTGAGACCATGACCCAAGCTGAGACCAAGAGTTGGTGACTTAACTGAATGGCTCAGGTACTCCTTGCTTGCTCCTTTTAAAACCCCAGTTGGGTTGATAATCAGTTAGGCTGCAGGGTCCTTATTCTGTGGGGCTCAAGTATCCCTTGGCCCTGGAGCAGGGAGATGGACCGACCATAAAGACAGCCAGCAAGCTTTGCGCAGTGGCAGTATCGCAGCCAGTGAGGTTTATCTGAGGCTCGATTATTAATAGTTGAAGATGGCCAGCATTGTGTGATAGGAGCTCGGGGTCTGCAAGGATGGGTCTGCGAACTGGCAGGTTCTGAACTGGTCTTGCAGAACCAGCTTTTTGCCTGCATTGGGAGGTTGGGGAGACACTACAGGTGCATGCTGAGGGTGGGAGAACCAGCTTGGAGATGAAGCTGCTGGCAGGGCCTGAGACAAGCATCTCCAGTGCTCAGGTGAGGTTTTAAAGGCTCTCATTTCTGCATGGCTCAATAGGGAACCATGGAAAGCTTATGAGCAGGGGAGGAATAAGGCCATTTCTGGGGGTAACCACCTTGTGTGTGGGTGCTCTCATGTCTCCTTTGCTCTAGGATTCATGGGGTCGGGGTGATGTTGGCCTTATTCACTGCCTAAAAATCCTTGAATGAATGAAATGTGTAAACTGATCTAGGAGTGGGTGGGAGCTAGCTAGGTTGATAAACAGAAAGGTTGTTGCAGTGAGGGGGCCCCAGAAAATCAGGGACCTCTCTGATAGTCTGAGGTTGGAGTGTGTGTGTGCTGGTGGTTGAAAAGGTTTTCAGGGAGCACCTGGCAGGCTCAGTCAGCAAAGCATGTGACTCTTGATCTTGAGGTTGTGAGTTCAAATCATACTTTGGGTGCCGAGTTTACTTAAAGAAAGGAAGAAGAAAAAGAAAAGAAAAAAGAAAAGAAAAAGAAAAGGAAGTTTTCAGGAGCAGGGGATTGAGGACTGGAGATGAGACAGTGCAGACCAGAAAGAGATGAGCTAGGCCAGTGGGATAAACCTTGGGCGACCAGCTGGCCATGGGGATGAGGAAGGGGAGGGGGTGAGTGGGTGGCAGAACTGTCATCAGATGGGAACACCAGGAAGAGGAGCAGATTTTAGGGGGTGAGTGGGAGTGGCCAGTGTGCCACAGGTGGGGGATGAAAGTTGCCAACAGAGCCCAAGGCCAGCGCCCTGGTCGGTGTCTTTAGGAAACCCTGAATATTTGATGGAAGAAGCAGTTGCAGCTGCTTGTCTAACAAGGCAAGTGGGAGATGGTGATGGTGGAGCCCTGATGGGGTCAGGGAGGATTGAGGGTAAGACAAAAACCTCGTTTTGGGATGTTGGAAATGCCATAGGAACGGGAGGAACATGCCAGTGGAACATCTGGGAAACTACCTTGGACGGGTCGGAAGGCATCCCTGTAAGTGTCTGGGAGCTGGGTGGTTGGCTGGAGGCCATTCTGCCAGTGTAGGACACCCAGCAACAGTGACCCAGCAGGCTCCCGGACCCTTCCTGCTTGCTGTGGCCCTTGACCCTGGTGTAAAGTGGTCATCCTCCACCATTGGCCGCTGCGCTCGGCCTCCGCTGCCTGTGAGTGGGCCATCGCCATGCTGCTGTTCATGCTCTTCGGCTTGTTTGCAGTGGATTTTTCCTGCCTGGATGGCTGCACCCTGTGTCTCCAGCCGGGCCCCAGCCTCAGCCCCCCACCGGCCTCCCCCATCTCCCTGCAGGTCCCCCTGTGAATGGCAGTCCGATTGGTGTGGTTTGGCGCCAGTGCTGCGATCAGGGCCACCTGGGAAGTGAGAGGCCAAGGCCAGCCAACCATCCCTGCTCAAGGCTATTTATTATTATTATTATTATTAATTTTTTTGTTTTTGTTTTGTTTTGCTGCCGGCGGAATCAGAGACACGGACGCAGGCAGGGTCACGCGAAACCAGAATTCCTTCCGGAGAGCAAATCCGTACAGAAGGTTTTGAAGGGAGGGGAGAGCTGGGGAAGTGGGGGTGCCTGGGAAGGAGGAGTTGGGGACACAAGGACAGATGGCCCTCTCCGTCCGGATCTGCTAAGCCACCCCAACCAGCCCCCGTCCCTCCCCCCACCCCACCGAGAGATTGATCAATAAATAAAATAATAAATTAATCAATAAATAAAATAGAAACAGCTCCCCCGCCCTCAGTTCCCCCCCAGAACCACCCCCCATTGGGCACGGCCCCCTGAGCCCCATCCCTGCAGGGTGAGGCTGGGTTTGTTGTGTCTCTCCCCTCCCTATATACTCCTTGGGCCCTATTTACAGATTCACAGTTAGGGGGCAGGGAAGGGGGGTTGAGGGGGATTCCCTCCTTCCCTGGCCCCCTGGGGTCAGGGCAGAGGGGTCCCATTGGTGGCCAGGAGCTTCTTGTCCTTAGCAGGGCCTCGACGGGGAGAACTGGTCAGCTCTGGGTCTGGGCGGCTGGGTGGGGGCTGCAGGCTTCTGGGTGGGGTACCAGCAGGCCGAGTCTGGGTCCCGTTTTTCTCATCTGCGGAAGAAGAAGCAGTGTGGCCTCAGTAACCTCAAGGCTGCCAACCCCAAAGAATATGTTCCAGCAACAGCATGGTGAGACCAGGGCCCCCATCATGGGACTAGAAGCCTGCAGAGATGGCTGCCAGGAGGACTCACATCTGCAGCCAGACCTGGCAGCCTCAGGATGGCGGGTCATGCATCCTGGGCCCCCCAACCTCTGTGGCTTTGGAAACTGGGCCAAGTCAGTCCCAGAGGCCCACCTTCAGGGGGCATTCTCATAGACTCTGGCTATGACACCATGCGCTAAGAGACAGCTTGTCACAGCAGCTAATCAGATTCGCATCCCTAGATTACAGCCAGAAGGATTGGTCCCCTTTCCTTCTGCTACCCTGGTTGTGGGGGTAGCACAGGAAACGTTCCCTGGCAACAGGGCCCAGGGGAGCCTATAGTGGGTTGTTTTACGGGGGAGGGGGAGTTTGAACAGACCTGGATGGTTGATTACTCTTCTCCAGAACACAGTTTCAGAATTTTTGTTAGCAGAAAATCCCACATCCCCGACACATAGACCAGTCATCCTCTTAGGGATTCCTGGAGGTGCCCTCCCTAGCCACAAGGCCGTCTCAGGTTGGGACAGCCTGGTTCCCTGGATGGAGCTCAGGACCCAGCCTCTCTGAGAACCTGTGATCCTTGCCCACAAACTGAAGCCCTGGGGCACCTGCTCAGCAGGAGGTCTTCCCTCCAGCCCACAGGATAAAAGAAGCAGACATCGCCTCCGGCCCCTGCCTCCCACCTGCCAGGGCCTGCACGGAGGGCTGGTCGTGAGTGCTCAGCAGCTGTGCCTGGATGGTCTCTACAACTCGCTTGAACCGACGGCTGGGACCTGGAGGGGAGATGGACATGGACATGGAACTTGAGGACAGAGATACTGAAGACACTCCCACCCTGTGGAACCCAGCAAAGGACTCTCTTCCTCTTGGTCTCAATTTCTCGCCCTGTGTGGAGCCAGGCATAAACCCAGGCTTTGCAGCTGGGGCTGAGAAAGATCGGCATTGAAATAATGATGGGTGTGGTTTTCTGTTGAAAGAAGCTGTACTACTTGCTAGTTTCTAGTTGAGGCCATGAAGAGCCAGAAACATAAGAAAAATAAATGGAAAGTAAAACAAAAAACAAAAAACAAAAAAAACCCCTTAAAATCGAGAAAGTCCTGCATATCAGTCTTTAAGGGAAAGGGGAAAAAATGCATCATAATTCATCTTAGTGATGTAACATTGTGGCAGGCTGGTATAAAAACTTGGGAGCAAGCTCATCTCCCAACTGTGACATATTAAGACTGCTAACAAGGGTAGTGAACAGAAGCATCCCTTGTTATTCAAACCCTTGTCATCAGGGCTCAGAAACTAAGCTGAATGGGAAGGAAGGCTTTTCTGTGGTTTTCGTCTCTGGTGCCAACTCCTGATTGTCATGGCTGCCTGCGATTTCTGAGGCTGCTACTGAGCTCAGCAGGACGAAGTGCGGTGATTGGCTGGTGATGTCTGCTCTGGGTGCAGGAATGACATTGGATCTCAGTGAGCCATGTCTTTGCCTGTCTGCTGTATGGTCTTAAGGAAGTAGGAAGGGAGCTCTGCACTTCGAGGTCAGCAGGGCTAGGCTGAGCCCAGCTCTGTCGTGGTTTGCAGCCTGACTCTCTCAAGTTAATTTACCTCTATAGGACTCTGTTTTCTCCTCTGTAAGGTGGGTGATCACTAATACCTCAAAGGCTGCTGGGAAGCTTCAATACAACAGTGCATGTAAAGCACTGGGAACATCACAAATGTCCATGAAATGTCAATGAGAAAAAGGGTAGACAGAATGTAGGGGTCTGAGTGAGGAGGGGGCTCACATAGTCAGCAGTAGCTGGGCACCACCTCTTCCTCCCTCTTGCTACCTTGGCCACTATCCTAACTCAGTTGTCTTGAGTGTCCCAAACACTAGGCTGTAGGCAGCCTCGCTGAGGGAAACTTACCGGAGATGAGCGTAAAGGTGACGGAGTAGATACCACCACTGCCACTCCCATCCCGTCGTGGGGAAGGCTCTGGACCCTCTGAGGAGCTGATATCCACCTGGAATCGGACAGGCTTCTGGAAGACGGATGGGCCGCCACTGGCCTTGTATTCGGCCCTGAAGCTGGTCTGTGACAGCACACTGTGACTCAGGCTGGGGATCTGAGACAGGTGGGGGACAGAAGCAGGGGGTGATTCCAGTGACCTGATTCCAGAGAATGGTTAACCAACCCCACAACTACATCTGCCCAAGGAACTAAAAATTCCATCAGCCACTGGGGGAAAAAATAACCGAGGAGATACTGGGAGACCCCACTGCCTGCTGGGACTAGTAGTTTTCTTGTCCAACTCTAAACGTATCTCAGGAATGGCTGAACAACTGAATTCCCATGTAACAGGGACTCTTGCTTCTAGGTATCAGCCCTAGGCTCCAGAATCACATGACACAAACTTCTCTGTCTCCACAGGCATTGCCATATCAGCCTCAAAACCAGTAAGTCTTGGGATGCCTGGGTGGCTTAGCGGTTGAGTGTCTGCCTTTGGCTCAGGGCATGATCCCGGGATCCGAGATGGAATCCCACATCAGAGTCCATGTGTGGAGCCTGCTTCTCCCTCTGCCTTCGTCTCTGCTTCTCTCTCTGTGTCTCTCATGAATAAATAAATAATCTTAAACACACACACACACACACACACACACACACACACACAAACCCCCTGTAAGTCATACTAGCTCCTAGAGCAAAGAACCAGAGGACCCAGTGGGAAAAGTGGTTCCTTCTGCTAATCTCAGACATGGTGGTCATGGAATGGCAACTGATCAATACTCTAGAGACTTGTCCCATGCCATCACCTCCAGGCCCCAGGGCACCTCTCCCACCTCCCTGCCCTGACCGTGACCAAACCCAACTCTGAATGGTAAACTACAGATCCCATGAGCCTCAGGAGGAAGCCAGGCCAGAGCGATGGTGGTGGACCCCAGGGGCTGCTGGGATTTGCAGTCCTGTGCGAGCCAGGACACAGGAAAGACCCAGGTCCCCTCACCGACAGGAAGGCATGGACAATGTCCGCTTTGATGCTGCTGAGAGGTTTGTCCTTTAGCACAAGGAATATTTGTTCTTCTTTGTCCAAGGAGATGAAGTTCCCAAACCAGGAACGTTTTGCCAACCTGAGTAAAATGTAATGGTTGGAGGCAGGTCAGCAGGGGGGTCAAGGGCTCAGGGAATAAACACCTCCCTCCATCCTCTTACTTCCCTTTCCTGTCAGACTCACTCTGGAGAGGACTCTGGCGTCAAACTGGACATCTCCTCGGCAGTGGGGACTGGCGGGGGCGGTGAGGGAGGGGAGAATATGGTCAACACTTGCACATCATCCTGGGGTCCAGCACGCAGGCCAGCGGTACCCTCCAACCAGAGGTTTCAGATCCCAGGGCCCATTCATCTCCCAGTAGCTAAACCCCAAATGGCATGCTGACTGGTGGTCCTTCCAGGGATGCGGGCCCATCTGTTAAGCCACGCCTCCTGAGGGGTAGAATTTGCTAGCTATAAGCCAATGGGAAGATGAGCCAGGCCTGAAGGGGTGTGTCCCTGAGAGGCTCCTCCTCCAGAGCTGGAAGCCACGCCCCTCTCCCCAACGCCTGAATCTCTACTAGCAGCCCCATTTGCTCACAGGAAGTGGGAATCCAGGCCCACAGCTCTCTCCCCATCTTAGGATTCAGGAGTCCATGCCCCCAGCCCCTGCACCCTCAGGGACTCCGTACCCTGCATCTTGCGTCGGTGAAAGCGAGGGGAGCCCAGGAAGCTGTTGCGGATGGAGTTGAGACGACTTCTCCAGGCGGCTCCCCCGACACCACCGCCGGGGCTTGGGGGTGGTGTTGTTCCTGGCGTCCCGGTGGGGCTGGCCCGGGGCGTATGCAGGGGCGAATGCAAGGGGGTGCCCCCAGAGGAGCGCGGGGAGCCTGGGGGGCCAGGCAGGGGTGTGGAGCGGGCACTGGGGGGCGGGGGCTGCTCTCCGGCGCCCCCACCCCTGGGGCCTCGAGAAGGCAGCGTCTGCGTTTTGGAAGTTGGGGAGACCCCGCCCCGAGCCTCATCGCCAGCCCCGGGCTCAGGTGAGAAGGAAAAGACAGGACTCTGCG